ATCCTTATGCTATTATTAAGAGGAAAGACCAAAGAATTCTTTGATTATTATATTTCATAATCCTTTTTAGAACCTTCAATATTTTGTTTAAAATCTTTGTTTATCTTACGTCAACGGGTGACCGTAAATTACAATGGGAAAATTTAGCGTATTTCTACGGTGAAAAAAAAAAAAACACATTGATTTCAAAATTCTTGTAAAAATCAAATAATTGTCGGATTTTCATGAAAATTTCAGGATTTATTAAAAAATGAATTAAATTATTTTTTAAATGTTTGTTTTTAGATAATTGCGGTAAAAATATTTTTTTTACATAATAATCCCCCCACCCCCACCCCTACTTATTTAATTTTATGAAATTTCGACAAATACTTTTTTTTGCCGCTTAATATTTATATTAGTTCTAACCAGAACATTTTGGAGAAATTAAATCGTCAATTTCCTTTTGAAAAGCAGAACCCACAGTTACGAAAAATCTGCTCTGAAGTGTAAAATAAAAAAAATGAAAAGACATTATTTAATTAGAAAAGCTATTAACTGCTTTTATGAATAAGACATATTATGAACTCTATTGTCTTAAGAAAAAAAGATTTTTCGATTTTACAATTATTTTCTTCATTTCTAAAATAATCAGAATAATTTATAAAATTGTAAACCTTTTAAAATTCTGTATTCATTTGTAGCGGTTAGGTGATATTGTTATTAAATAAAAACTATATTTACTAATCACAAATAAAGGAGCTTACTACCATTCAGCGACCCCTAGTATTTAAAAAGAATTTTGAATATTTTTTGTGCTTATAAACGTTCCGGTTTTTGTAAATACGAACTTCTATGCACGGCAATATTAAAAAATAAGAGCGGTAACTATAGTAAATTTAAAGCCAAAGTACCTAAAATTCAATAAAACATTAGATTACTGAGAATATTTTCCTAAATTTTTAAGATTACTGTGTAGTTGTAGTTAAAAAAAATATATAAAAAAAGCGCTCACGTTATATTCGTCAAGTCATTTTTACAGATATGTCCACCGTAGAAAAAGTTGGTTAAATTTCCGGTTGTCAACAGAGCTATCAACACCTCATAAAAATATTTACCTCCGTGTTAATACATGCATTTTCATGATATTTTAAATTAAAATAAATAATATTTGCTTCAAATCAGATTAATTAAACTTTTAATCAGATAATATTCCCTAAATAAAGATTCAGAAATATATATTTCATCTTTGAAAGATTTTTTTAATGAAGAGAATTATGTTGTGCTGAGAAAATAATACTAAAATCAGCCATTTTTTAGAAATTAAAATACTAATTCCAAACAGTTTAAATTCATTTCGTATTACAGCAAATTATTTTTCTTATTAAAAATATTAAATTAAATCTACTAGCTTAAAAATAAAAATAAAATAAAAGTTTCGAAAAAGATTTTTAATTTTTTAAAAATTACTTTAAACCTTAGATATCGCGTTTCTTTGGAAGTATGTAGATAAGAGTTATTTACAACTAGCTTAAACGTTGCCGTATCGGGCGGCATTTAAACTAGCTCCTGAGGAGGGCTCCTGAGGAGGGCTCCTGAGGAGGGCTCCTGATTTTACCTTAATCACAATAGATAGGGGGGAATAGATGCGATAGGCAACAATAAACTACAGAGGAAATCAAAAGTGGTCGCTGCATTTAAGTATTGCATTAATATTTAAGCTTAACTTTTAAAAGTTTAACGATGATTCTTCTGCCGCCACTTGATTTAAAGACGATTTGATGTACGTAGGTTCTTACTTTCTATACAAACAATTATTTTTCTTTCATGGGTGACTTTCGCTGGATTTCGCAATTAATTTCGATTATTCCCAAATTTATTTCCAAGTTATAAAAACTGCTATCGTACAAAAAATTCGTCGCAAAAAAAATCACTTAAAAAAATCGCCGAAAACAAACGCAGTAATGAAAACTTGGGAATCCAAAATTTCAGGATTGCGGTTCCGGATACGACCTGGAATATTTTTAATTTGCTCACGGGGTTGACCTGATTCTAAAATGGTATGATATGTTGGACTACGGCTTCTAAAAGCAAAATTGAAAAGTGTGACATAGTGACACACTGACATTCGCATTTATTATATAGAAATTGCAGATGAGAAATCACACGAAACAGCTCTGATGATGATGTTCGAAATCAAGTCGAAACAAATGTGATGATGATGTCAAAAATACAGAGACGCTGAATATTTGAATTAAAATTTTTTCATGACGTTCTTTACTTACGGCCAAGTCATAGTGCAACTCACGCCCAGAACTAGAGGCCTTTCTCAAATTTCATCGTTCCACTGGAAGCTAAGATTTTCAGTTTGGGTTTGCGGTAATTCGCTGCTGTAGTTGGATTAAGAAATTAAAAGAAAAAAAGTAGAGATTAAGAGCATAATTAATTTGGCTCAAAAAGTTAATCCTCTTTATCTTGGTATATTTTTTTCTTTGCTAAGTTCTTATTACAGTTAATATATAATTTGGTGGAGCTTCGGATCCATCGCTTCCCACCCTGTTAAAAAGGGCGTACAATATGTTATATGTATTTTAATCTTTGAATTAATTATCTACGCTAAAATAGTTTTAATGAAACAGAAACCATATCGGAACTATGGATTCTGCAACTGAAGTATGACACGAAACAAAAACATTAAAGTAACTTTTTTTTATTTCATTGATTAGGAACAAAATAACCGTTGTTATGTTGACTTGTCATAAATTTGTCAAACATTTTTTTTATGATTATAGAATTAGAAAAGGAGAAGTATAGAAAAATGGCTCTTAAAAATGTGCTTTAGCAGCAGGTGTTAGGGTTAATGTTTAGTACACCTAATATCTAAATATCACAGATTAAATTTATTGAATTTAATAAACTTTACACAATAACATTTAATAATGTTCTTAATAAATGATTTTTTGTTAATTTTATAGTATAAAATATCACGTTTACTCTTATTTTGTACTTAGCTAAAATTCAACATACTTTATTTCTTAAAATACCTTTTTTAGAAAGAAAAATACAAATTATTGATAAAAAAGATTAAATTGGATCATATTTGTGTAAGAATAACAATATCACAGAGAAAAAAAAAATTAAATTAGCATTATATAACAAATAATTGAGATAACAATATATATTTTGGGGTAATTTGCTTTTTAAGCTCCGCGCTAAGTATGGAATAAAAAATTCCCGAATAGTTATATTGAGGTGTAAATTTACATGCTTAATTCGAAATTAACAAAGAAATTTTGGTAAAATCTACCGTTTTGGAGTTATCGACAATAAAAGTTCGAACTCATTTGCGTCGCGACAGCCATTACTGGCGTTGTTTGCATATATTTGGTTCGGAATAGTCTTGATTATTGCGCATACATTGAATCCTCAGTTGCGCAGTAATTGAGTCAAGTAAAAACCGTAAAAGGGCCGTTAATAAGGTAATCTTCCACGCAAATCTAATCAGCAGCGAATATATGCAAACAACCCCAGTAATGGCTGTCGTGCTGTAACGCGAATAAGTCCGAAATTTTATTGTCGATAACTTCTAAACGGTAGATTTTAGCAAAATTTCTTTGTTATTTTCGAATTAAGCATGTACATTTACACCTAAATATAACTATTCGGGAATTTTTATTATATATTTAGCGGGTGTTGGTGGGTTAAAAAGCAGATTACCCATATTTTTTATATATTAAGAACAGTATTGGAGGAAAATGTCTAGAGAGTGTCTTGATCGCATGGATTCACAGTAAATTTGCACCCGGACTCTTAGAACATTTCACTATTCCTGGCAGAATTTCTATTATCACAGTGTAGGATATCTATTAACAAAAGTGATGGAAAGAAAAAGAAAATGAATTTAAATGAAATCGGTTAGATTAAAATTTTTAAAAAAATATTAATTTCCCAGCATCCCTCGTTCGTGCGCATATTCAGTCGCACCAGCATAACAAATTTAGTTAGATGAAGTCCTAAAGGACGAATCCACTTTGTCATACATTTTTCCCCCATAAGAAATAATTGCATTTTTAAATTTTGCAGTGTAAAAGCAGAATCGAAGAAAATAAATCTCTGGAAGAAAATTTGTTGAAAATTAAATATAACAAAACATTAACTTTCTTGTAACATTTGTAATTCGACAGGCTAAAAATGGTATCACTAAATTATTTCTTTAAATCAATTAAAATTAAGCTGTTACTTTTCGCTATTAGAAGCGTCGTAAAAATTCAACATACTTTTTGCATTTGTTCGAAACAGAAGTACCGATTACGTAAAAATAAGTAATAAGGTTGATCATTAGTGCATTTGCTTTTATTAATTAAAATTTCACAGAAAAGAATATTAAAATAACTTAAGTGAAGAATATTAAATTAACTTCCAAGTAACAAGACCAAGTTTTCTTAATTATATTTTTTATTGAATTTCGTATAAATTATAAATGTACAAAATGTTTGCTTTTGCAATAAAAACATGGAATAATATAGCAACTCCGAAGGAAATAAAATAAATAAATCTTATACTTTAATTAAATCAGCAAAAATGATTCCAACTGTAAAAAGCAAAATTTTCTTAAAAACAAGAGCAAATTACCGTAAATCCAAACCCAAACTAACAATTTTCCCTCCCAGTAGAACGACGAGATTTGAGAAAAGTCTCCAACGTGAGTTGCTCTATGACTTGGCCTTAAGTAAAGAACGCCATGAAATTTTGATGTCCGAGGATGCTAAATTTACCCTTACCTTCAGTTTTATAACCTGTTATTTATCGTCGTATTTTGATGTATGTATGTATGTACATTTGTAGCGTACAAAAGAAATATCTTATTTTTACAACGCAACTTGCTTTCCAACATAATCCGTGATGTCAATGCACTTAACCCAACATTATAGCCTGTTAAACACATAGATTGCACATTACACAGCAAAAATTTAAGATCAAAATCCCGATAATAACTCTGATCCACAAGCATACATATGTGCATGTGTAATACATTACAATACATCTATCTCAATCAATATTCCGATTTATCGCAGTCTGTTCACATATGTCTCACCTAGCACAAAAAGTCATTGTAAGCAAGCTTGTCTCGTAATGAGGTTGTTCCTCACAGGGTTCCCGTTATTGTGAGTCTGCAGCGTGGAAGGAAGGAAGGAAGGAAGGAAGGAAGGAAGTGATAATTCGCCGCAATGAAATGTTGCATAAACTTGAGATCAAATATCTTCATATATTTTTTGATGGAGTTATTTATTTGTATTTAAATTTATATATTTCCTGCTTTAAAACTTGTAAAATATATCACGGAAACATTCATAAGAATTTCTTGACTGTTGAAAATTGAATGTCCGTATGCAAAACCACAAAACAAGGAAAGAGTAACACGACCGTGTCGTTAATGTAACATTTAACAAACGACAGATAAAAAGAAAAGTAAAGCATTTCAATTTTTTTAATCTATCTCAGTTTGTTCATTTCATAATATCTATCTAAGTTTGTTCAATTCATTCATTCATTCATATCTATCTATCTCAGTTCTTCATATCTATCTATCTATCTATCTATCTATCATCTCATTCATTCATATCTATCTATCTCAGTTCTTCATATCTATCTATCTATCTTCATCTATCTCAGTTCTTCTATCCATCTATCTATCTATCTATCTATCTCAGTTCTTCACATCTATCCATCCATCTATCTATCTCATCTATCTATCTATCTATCTATCTATCTCAGTTCTTCATATCTATCTATCTATCTATCTATCTCAGTTCTTCATATCTATCTATCTATCTATCTATCTCAGTTCTTCATATCTATCTATCTATCTATCTATCTATCTATCTATCTCAGTTCTTCATATCCATCTATCTATCTATCCATCTATCTCAGTTCTTCATCTATCTATCTATCTATCTATCTATCTATCTCAGTATCTATCCATCCATCTATCTATCTATCTATCTCAGTTCTTCATATCTATCTATCTATCTATCCATCTATCTCAGTCTCAGTTCCATCCATATCTATCTATCTATCTATCTATCTCAGTTCTTCTATCCATCCATATCCATTCATCTATCTATCTATCTCAGTTCTTCATATCTATCTATCTATCTAGTTCATCTATCTATCTATCTATCTATCTATCTATCTATCTATCTATATATCACGTTAATTCTCAAATACAGACATTATTTTATTTATTTATGGTTCTTGTGAAGAAAACGAAACTTATTTGCCAATCCTTACGAAAGAAAAAAAAAAGCTAAGAGTCATGCATCATAAACGTAAAACGATTTGCTTGGCACTTCGACGTGGTGTATAGTAGCAAGCATGTCTCGATATATAGATTCATTACGACTGAATAGCGAGTTCGATCCCCCATACTTCCGGCCTTGTGCCACATCTAAGATACGCTTAGAAAATACAGTTTTATGAATAATTTTAAGTTGAAACTTCTGAAAAATTAAAACAAAACATCTTCTTATTCAATTGATTGCAGTGCTAAGTACGGACAAAGATCAGCAGAAAATAAAATAAATTTATAAAGTTAAAAAAGTAAAAAAAATAAAAAAATAAATAAAAAAAGAACAAAAAGGAATGTTTAAAAAAGCATTGATGGCTACTGATCGCCGTTTGTTTAACGATTTCTTTACGTAATGTGCAATACTCACAGGTATTTGTTGTGATAGGCAGTTAAAGATTTACATTCAACAATTAGCATAAAAAAAATATAAATAAACTTTACTACTGCTCGTACGATAATACTCAAGAAGCATCCATTCATACAAATTAAATAAAGAAAGAACAACAAATAAATATTACAGGATTTTCTTTTTTAGTTATTTTTTTTTTTTTTTAGAAGTAAGGTCACCTATCGTCCGGTTCACACTCCTTCTCGTTTTTTTAAACAGGACTAGAGACCGTTTTATCCCCTGTTTCCTGTTTAGGATTGGGTTTCCGGTTCCTTCTAAAAAGTCTTTTCATCCTCTTTCCCACCACGTAGTAGCCTCTTCTTGGTCTTAGTGGCATTATCGCCTTGCTTGGGGCGAATTTAAAAACAAAAAACAAAAAAAAAACAAAAAAAAACAAAACAAAACAAAAACAAAAACAAAAAACAAAGCATTTATGATCCCATCCATAAAAAAACACACACCTGTATACAAGTATTCAATACAAAGACAAGACTAGTCAGTCTACAATTAACAAGTGCTTAAATTTGTTTGTGTGCATAAAAATCAATCGTCACTTATGGTCATTTACACAAATATTTTTAACAATTTTCCCAAACAATGCGCATGCGTATAAAAAGAAAAAAAATCTTTGCTCGTACAAAGTTGATAAATTTCAAAGTTTTATTTTTATCTTCATGATAAATAAATAAATAAAATACAAAAATAAAACGAAATCGAAAAATTTAAAACTACGTAACGAACTAATGATATTACTTGTGAATTTTTTTAGCAACAATTTATTTTGTTAGTTGAAACATCAAAATAAAATTTTAAAAAGATTGTTTCTTCAAAAAATCCAATCGATGTAAAAAAAAAAAATGTTTTAATTCAAAGTTCTTTTTATTTTATTCACGCTCCTTTAGGCTCAACGAAGTCATAAACGCTTATCGTCATTAAAAAAATATTAATCACGCACACACTCTCTTGTCTTAGTGTAACATACTCTCAACTGCAACTCATTCATCATGTTGATAAACAATTCAAAAAGAATTTGCTACACTCAAATAAACGTAAGTTTATGACACACGCCACAACGATCACTTACCTACGTAATGATAATAGCAATGGTTGGTTAGTACTTTTTTATGCTAGTCTTACGGACGGCTTATAAGGGGTTTGGTCCTCATCACCCAGTAATAATTACTACTGGACTGGATCTCTTACACTTTACACTTTTTAAGTTTTTATGTATTTATTTATCACTACGTAAAGACAAATTTGGCAGAGGGTCATTTTTTGTGGAGGTCTCTCAATATACAACTAATTGTCGCCTGTTGGATCATACAAAAATTGCCCGCTTTTTCGGTTATTGGATTGCTGTAGGTGGGGTGTGCCTCTGACCATAACTACAAAGATTGTTTCCTAGCACCCGGCTTCAGTTGCTTTTTAAACCCCGACGAACTAGAGAATATTGTTAATAATCAATTAAACGGTGCCACGCAAGCTAGCTTCGATCCCGGGTACCCAATTTTTCTTTTGGGACTTTTTTAGTGACTTTATCCGTATTATTCTAAGTATAAAATAAAACATAACCAGTTACAATACACAGTGACCTACAGATTTTAAGCATTTTTTTTACGGTATTGACACCTGTGCATTTACACCTTATGAGCTGTTTGTAATTTGTGGGTTAGAGAGGGTACCGTAGCTGATCTCTAGTTAAATCTGTTGGACGTTGGTTCACTGCTACACAATCAAACTAACACAGTGAAGTTTACTTTCTTTTACTTTTATTTTTTTTATTTATTTTACATTCCCTTCTCTATCCAATCCATCCATATGCATAACCCATATACACAATCTTCAGTCTTCGCCCATACATTCTCAAACGCACACACAAACACAGTAACACAGACAGCCACACACAAATGCTAGCTCTCTAGCACATGCATTTTTCACACACTTGTATCATCCACGTATATTTTTTGTTTTGTTTCTTTCTGTCTTTCTCTCACTCTCTCCAGACTTGGGCCAGTAGCATTTTTAACTTAAAGCTACACCAGATACACACACACACACACACACACAAACATCAAACATTCATTCAGTATATTCAATCAGTCATCGGATTACCTCATTCTCTCTCTCTCTCTCTCCATGGATTACCCGTGTTCATTGCCACACCACCAGTAATATAATAAACATAAAATGTGTTAAAATACCGTGCCATGCAATGCAAGAAGAAGGGATCGTCCGTTTCATTCACGTAAATATAAGTGATGGATTAAAAAAAAGTCCTTTTTAAATGGAACGAACAAGTCGTATATAAAAATATTTATTTTCTTTAACTCGATTCCTCATCACTTGTCCAACAGTAGCGAAAAATTATTAAAAAGAAAAGGAAAAGTAAACCAAATGAAAGCGACATCTACAAGGAGGATGTGGAGGACCATACCCCGGTTTTTTAATAATGTGAGAAGTGAAATCAATGACGACAAAAAATAAGAAGAAGCTTTTTGGGTGGAAGTTACAAGTGGATTTTATTTAATTTTTTTTTTAAAATCTTTATTTTAATGCCCTGGTTATACAAATGGATAAAGTTGAAGGTAAGTAGTAACAATTAAATTCTCTCTCTCTCTGTGACACAAAAGATAACTTCAACTTTTTTTGTGTTTGGGAATCTCTCCAGTGTGCGTGCACACACACACACACACACACACACACACACACACACACACACACACACACACACATTCCAAAGTAAAGTCCAAAACAACACGTTAATTTCACATTTTTCCAGTGTTCCTGGGTTTATACAAAAAAAAAAAAAGAAAAAAAAAAGATTTCTTCCCGTGGTTTCCTTTCCATCCTGATTCTCGTGATAAATCAAAGATCCTTTTTATTTTCTTAATTTTATTTATTTTTCAATATGTGCAGTCTGTGTCACACAATACGTGTGATTTTTGTTTCATTTCTAAAGCTGTTCAAGTCTTTTTTTTACATGCATTCTTTATTATTATTCATAATTCTTGCTCTTTAAAAAAAAAAAAAGTTGATAAATTTGAATTTAAATATTTCTTATCTACGAGAGTGTGCTGAAAAGTTCTTGGCCTCCACCCACTTACTTCCAAAAATCTTAACTAAAAAAAACAAAAAAAAACACAATTTATTTTACAATCCCTATCCTTGGTCTGTTCGAGAACTTTTCATTTCCTTATACATCTATTCGTAAATTTCTTTCTTCTTACTTTCCATATTTTATTTGGATGCCGAATTGTGCCATCGTAAATAAATTGTAGTGAATTTCTCGTGAAGTATTCGCGACGGACACTAGAATTATTTGACACTTTTTCATTCTTCTCTCGTTCCATATATTTTGCATTTTTTGTTTGAAGCCCGAAAATTTACGAGTTCAATTTTAGTCCAAGTCTAAAATTTTTTTTTTTTTTTTTTTTTTTTTTTTTTACAGGCTTCTCAAAAGAGTTGAACTCTAAAAAAGGTCAAAAATTGACTGCCTGTAAAAAAAAAAACAAAAAAAACAAGCAATTTTTTTGTACTGTTATTGAATAACGCCCATATACGGCTTTTAACTTAAGTAAGTCTGGTTAATAATCGTAAAAAAAGAAAAGTTTTAAAATTATGATTTAGTTTTTTTCTAATACACGCTAATTCTCACTGAGGTCGTTAGATCAACAAACAAAAGGATAATAATATCCTTTTGTTGATCTAAGAAGGTTGTGGTAATTTTGCTGACTGTTGCGAGACAAAATAACAATAAACAAAAAAGTTTGTATTTAAAAAGCAATTGAGAATAGAATAACAACAACGAAACTGAAAAATTTGAAAATTCGATGAAGGTTTGAGACGAAACTACGGCAAAGCTGATGTCAGTACGAATACTAAGGAAGGTGCTGAGGATTTGAAGAAACTTGTTATCATCACTCAATACCCGACCCGAGCAACAACCAAGCAGTCACCTTGTGCGAACAATAAATTTAAACAATAATAACGCACTGGTTTTATTTTATTCAGAGTCACACAGCTATTATAAAGAGTATCTTTCTTTACCCCACGCAATATAGAAAAATGAATGTGAGAGGGTCCTTTTTTCAAGTGTGGGAGGAAGACCGTAGTGTTGCATGTTTGAGTAGTTAACTATCAGGAATTCTTTGATTCAAATCCCAAACATAAAAGTTCTTCATTCCCACTTGCTAGCTAATTAATTAATTTTTGCTCTAAAATAGACTCCTCCTCTTTTTCTCTTCTTACTCTTTGCGTTCGCTTCACTCATTGTCCAGCTTTATAAAAAAAGGGATCTTCAGAATAGAATGCAGCAGGCACTTCCTTGTGTTACATCCCCTAAACACACACGCTTTCTTTAAAAATGTTAACGAACATCAATGTTGTTTTTTTCTTTGACGTTGGATTAATTTTTCTCTTTTCTTCTTAATCTTAGACAAAGATCAAAGAACATGCAACGAGCCCGGTAAATAGGCCCAGAATAAAATAAGAAACCGTAAACTTAGTAAACTACCTGTGTATTTAAAATACTCTGGTTTCTGGCGCGTTTCAAATGCCAGTTTTGTATAGTAACC